CCTCCCCCGTGCTCCTCTCCCCTCCCCCCAAATCGCCACCGCGCCGCAGCGCACGCCTTCCACCGCCGGCGAGGAGGGAGGCGCCGTCGGAGGCCGCGGCGGACGGGAGGGGGGGCGGTGAAGATGAGCGACACGTTCTGCCCGGACTGCAAGAAGCACACGGAGGTGGCCTTCGACCACTCGGCGGGGGACACGGTGTGCACCGAGTGCGGCCTCGTCCTCGAGGCGCACTCCGTCGACGAGACCTCCGAGTGGCGCACCTTCGCCAACGAGTCCAACGACAACGACCCCGTCCGCGTCGGCGGGCCCTCCAACCCGCTCCTCACCGACGGCGGCCTCTCCACCGTCATCGCCAAGCCCAACGGCGCCCACGGCGACTTCCTCTCCTCCTCCCTCGGCCGCTGGCAGAACCGCGGCTCCAACCCCGACCGCTCCCTCATCCTCGCCTTCCGCACCATCGCAAACATGGCCGACAGGTTCCCTTCCTCCTCTGCCCCCATTCCCATGCCGTCTTATATGTGTGGTCGATCCGATCCAATTGCGCCTCGATTTGCCTCAGATTTCGGTACTAGTACTACTGGTTAGCAGCGGGATCAATCCATCGCTCGCCCGTGCCCCGGCCCCCCGTCCTGATTTGATTTGATTTGATTGATGGCCGGATTTAGGAATCCACGAGTGATAGATTTATCTCTGCTGGCTCGCCTCAGTCGGTTTTGTTTGTAGATTCGGAACGTGTGATTGCGCCGTGGAGGGGGTTTGTTAGGGCTTGTGCTTTATCCTGTAGTAAGTATGGGTACCGATCTTATGGGTAGGTGGTGCGTGCCTTTCACATGGATCTGGAAGAGGGAGGTTCTACTCAAGAAATATCTAGAATTTTGGGTTGATACAATGGATCTCATTACATACTTGTAAAATCCTACTAGTAGATATTTCTTTTTGTGAGTATAATAGGTTTGGTACAGACATGTCAGGCTCGTCGCGCCCTCGAATGATGGTGTTACCATTTAACACCTGGTTTCTTGAAGCATGCATAATATTAGCCACATAGGTGCCTAAGCAAGTAGCAACAGCAAACTGGTGTCTACAACATGGCAAACTTGAATCATTGATTGATGAACTGCCGAGGATCCTTTTCTTGACAAGGCATTTGCGATTGTGATAGTTTCCTCTTCTACCAGTATATCTGAAATGGGAAGTTGTCACCACATAAGTAGTTTATGTGGGTCTTTTTGTTTCTAACATTTGGATTTTGACCATACATTCACATCTCTTGTGCAGGTTGGGTCTTGTGGCTACTATTAAGGTAAGAAATCTGATGTCTTTTTGTCCATTATTATGTTGACAGCTGGAAACCGAAAATACTTATTACTACAGTTATACTTGCATGCGAGAACTGATGAATGAATTAAATGCATCTAGCTTGGTATGTCATCAATTCAGACACCCAGGGTTGTCCTGAAAATACTGAAAGCTCAGGTCTTTATGCTCGCATTGAATGAATGTTTAAAGTTTATCAGATTGTTTCTAGAGCAATTTACAAACTTTTATTTGTCCTAAACATAGTTTATCAGATTATTTCTAGAGCAATTTACAAACTTATATTTATCCTAAACATATATGCTAAAAGAGCAGTGGTCCATGTTTCGTAGTGTAGCAAGGTCTGTTTTATTGTAAGAAAAATTAGCACTTTAGCAGTATGCTGAATACATGGTGTGTTGCACAACACTTGTCCATGTACTCATTGTCAAGGTTCATTGCTGCTTCCTTGGGGTTATTTTCAAGATTTTCCCTATACAGTAACATCGTACTGGTTTGTTGCAACTGTATACTGAGTATATTTTATTATTTTTGTGTTGCCTTCCTGAAGGACCGGGCCAATGAAATCTATAAGAAGGTGGAAGATCTCAAGTCTATCAGGGGAAGAAATCAAGATGCTATATTAGCTGCTTGTCTGTATATTGCTTGTAGACAAGAAGATCGTCCTAGGACTGTAAAAGGTACATGATGTTCCAGCAAATTTCTAGTTTTGTAGACATTAGAACCCGTCAGAATGCATGATATGATGCCATTCTTTGTTGTATTTGCTTTTTGCAGAAATTTGCTCAGTTGCCAATGGAGCAACAAAGAAAGAGATTGGTCGAGCAAAAGAGTTCATAGTGAAACAACTGGAAGTTGAAATGGGCCAATCTATGGAGATGGGAACCATCCATGCTGGAGATTTCCTGGTTTGTTGCTACTTATATTAGCATATATAAACTTGCAATCGGAAGTTGATTACTTATAAGCTTGGAAATCTGCAGAGGCGTTTCTGTTCAACTCTTGGGATGAACAATACTGCTGTTAAAGCAGCTCAGGAGGCAGTTCAGCGCTCAGAGGAGCTTGATATAAGGTTAGGCCTTTTTCCACCTTGTACACAGGAGATTGACTGGTCCTATGATCCTATCATGTTCCCACCTTGATTTAAATGAGACATGAAAGTTTTTCTAGTTAACCTCAACATTAGTCCCAGGTCTACTTTTGACCTTGGAAGTCTCAACCACTGGCATCTATTCCCTCTGGTCCTAAATATAAGTCTTTTTAGAGATTTCACTATAGACTACATTTGGATGTATATAGATGCCTTTTAGAGTATAGGTTCACCCATTTTGCTCCTTATGTTGTCTATAGTGGAATCTCTTAAAAGACTTATATTTAGGAACGGAGGGAGTAGATTCATGCTTGAGGTGGTTCCATGCAGGGTGACGTAAGGAGTCATAGACTATTAGAATAAAGAATATAACTAGTCTTAAGTTAATTACAAATGTGGCTAATGTGTACCCTTTGTAGCATGCTTTGGTAGATGCGATGTATGTAACTAATATTAATAGTCATAGTATTTGTCTCTTTAGACATGAACCTGCTTTTGCATGTCAATTTCCTAGTGCACACTTGTTGACCTAGAAAGATATGTTTACACTTCATTCCAATCTGCCGTGCAGGAGGAGTCCTATTTCAATAGCGGCTGCTGTCATTTATATGATAACCCAGCTTTCAGAGGACAAAAAGCCGCTTAAAGGTTTGAACGCTGACCCTTCCCGTCATTTACTTTCTCCTTGTGCCTGTCACTGTCGCCGAGGTAACATTTAACACTCGGATGCTTGCACTTTGCAGATATCTCCTTGGCCACCGGAGTGGCAGAAGGCACCATCAGGAATTCGTACAAGGACCTGTACCCCTACGCCGCGAGGCTCATCCCGAACTCGTACGCCAAGGAGGAAGACCTGAAGAACCTGTGCACACCATAGGAGCCGAGTGGCAGCCATTTCTTCCTTTCTCTCGCTCTTTTTCTTGTTACATAACTTTTGAAAATTAGATTTGTCGGAGGGGAGTTTCGTTGTTGCGAGTGCTTCACCAGGCCCATGTATATCCCCCGCCTAATTTTATGTGCATGGACCTGTCGGATTCGGGACGAAGCTAAGTTATAAGATCTGGCTTTCCTTTCTGGTAAGCTGATGCAGAGGTTGGTTTCAATCTGTGTACTATTGTACATTGCATTGTATTGCAGTGCCAGGGGACTTGGATCATGATACGGCAGCGAAGTCTAAGTGATCATTCTGTGGGGTTCTAGCAAAATGTCCATACTATCCTGGATTTGCACTACTGCAATATTTGGGTTATACACGACCGATGTGGTAATTTTCTAACTCCCTGAGCTGGGGGAGCTTATATAGCAGAGACACCGAGCTGATCAAAGATGGTAAGAAACTATGGTCAGGCAGGTCGCTTAAAGATCGGCCGAGCTGGCACAGGAGGAAGATCGATGTCTGCTCTCTCGGCATTGCCTGCCGGAAAGCTTTTCTAATGGCTTTGGCGGTGACCGGCGCATAGATGATTGCCTGGTTTCCGGCTGCAACTTGGTCGGAGATTGTACGATCCGAAACATGGACTGCATGGGGAGAGGTTCTTGCACTCTGGCGGTGATGCTTGTACGCCGGCGATTGCGGACTGTAAGCTACAGGGCTGTATCTGTATGTCGGCGATTCTGGAGTAAGTACCGGTTGAAATTCCGGCGGTACTGGACTGTACACCGGCGAACATGGACTGTATGCCGGCCAATATGGGTGGTATACCGGCGACGTTGGGCTGTATACCGGCGATACTGGATCGCATACCGGCGACACGGGTTTGGGAACATAATACACGGGAGCATAATACACGGGAACATAATACACGGACGGGATCGCCGCCGCGGCGCCGTTGCCGGGGTCGACGACGTGCCCCGCGAAGAGCACGGCGTGCGACGCCTCCTCCACTATCAAGTAGGCGAACGGGTGATCGGCCACGAAATCCACCTGTCGTTGCAAGATAGGAGGGGCTGCTGACGGATTCCAGAAACATGACATGGTGACGGCGGCGGCTTTGGTTCCTTCCTCGTTCACCTGGATGACGGCCTTCTGGAAGACGTCCTGCACGAGGAACGGCAAGCCGGAGCCGGAGCCGTCCTGCTCTTGCAGCATCTCGGAGAGGTCCGCATCCTGGGTGAAGGGCAGCCGGAGCCCCAGGTCGTTGAGGACGCCGACGAGGTTGCTCTGGAAGGAGAGCTCAAACTTGGGCACCCAGAACTCGCCGACCGAGACCGTCCTCTTCGGCAGGTGCTCGCGCAGGAATCCTGCCGGGGACGCCGACGTGATCTTGTCCAGCAGGCTCGCCGGGCCGTCGCGCGCGTCCGGGAGGAAGATGCACATGGACATGCCGTGGTTCTGACTACGAGGGTACCGTGAACTTCTCTTGTAGCGCAGCTGGAGCACCTTGAACCCGTCGTGCTCGGCGATGAAGTGACGGTCGTAGTTGGACATGAAGGGGACGTCGACGGCGGTGCCGTCGAGCCGGTAGAAGGGCCTGTTCTTGGTCGAGCTCTCGTACAACGGCAGGTCCCACTTGCCCCTGAAGTAGATGGCGTTGGCCAGCACCAGGTCCGTGCCCCGGTGCACGGCTCCCGGAGGGACGGCGGACTGGATGAGGTTCCCCGTGGCCGCCGCGGCCCACGCGTCGATCTGCCGCACCGCTTGCTCTGGGTCGTTGCGGAAGTCAACAGAGCTGACCTCGGCCCTGTACCTGCCGACGACGGCGTCGCGGAAGGCCGCCTTCAGCGGCAGCGTGAGGTCGCTCCACACGCCGCACACGAACGCCACGCTCGGCCCGCCGCCGTCAGGCTCCGACGATCTGTCTCTGAGGGGCCCGTCCAAGAGACGCGCCACGGAGTCCTCAAGCTCGCGGCGCGACCGCGCGCCCAGGACGTGGAGGATCTCTTCCAGCGTGTCCCCGCCGGCGCCGGCGGCCAGGAGCGCGAGGACGGCGTGGATGGAGAGCGGCGAGAAGACCAGGTTGCGGTCGCTGTTCGCGTCCGCGATGCGCTTGGTGAGGCGAGCGGCAAGGTCGGCCATGCCGGCGGACTGCTGCGCCTCCATGGCAACCTATCGAGCAGAGATCAATCGCTTTGACGATGCACACCGGTCTATGGAGGGGGTACGTAAGTCCGTTGGAACCTCTGTTCGGAGGGTTATTATGAGTCCGAGTTGGTAATTCCAGTCTGATGTGGCATCGGACCCCATGAGTTGGTAATTCGTGGTTACTCATCCGTAAATTTTCCTGAAACTGAATTAGAGAGTTATTGCACATCTAAGTGAATGAATTAAACATAAAAAGGAAGAGAAAAAAGAAAAAGAAAATATTCACACGAACCTCAATGTAAGATTAATGACATAGGACTTAGATGTGCAATACTTATGTTAGCAAAACTGAATTAATTAAGTCAATTAACTCAGATTTAATTTTGACGCGCTACGCGTCGGCTGAGGAATCCACCGGTGTAGGAGCCGTTCGATCTGACACTATCTCCGGGTCAAGCGTCGTTGTCACTTTTGCAACAGAAGTGAGTTTTCTTTTTGAAACAATCTCTTGTTGCAAATATTTTTTGCAACAGATGTCTTGTTGCAAAAAGTTATCGTGTTGCGTTGCTTGCGGTCATGGCGACATGGCCTCGAGCAGAAGCTCGGCCTTGTTGGGAAGGGGGGG